AAAGCCGTTCTTGCGGTTGGGAAAGGGGGGGCGCAGCGGCCCCCAATAACTTCATTTGCCAGCGCGGGCAAAAGCGCAGCATTAGGCAACGAGGCAGCCGATTTTCTCTCCCACATCAAAACGCATCGCCAAAAAAGCTTTGGCATCGTCAAAAAAAGTTGCTAGAATCTTCTTGATGGCGAGGCAGACTCGTCGGTGACCGATTTCCTGATTCGGACGGATGCTGCCATCTGTTGGTTTCAAGATGGAAACCCCTGAGCCGTCTTCATTCGTTGACAGACCGGCCGCAGACTCAGGGCCACCTCCATGAGGACAGAAACAGGGCTGAATTCAAGACGAACATGCGGTCTAGGAATGCGTTTCTATTCATGAACCGTTCGCAGGCGCTTAATTGACAGACTCGGCGCAGCGCCCTTGCGTGACCACGACACCCTCGCGCCATGGGAGGAGGCCCGCCATCGTAAGCCAAGACCAAAAAGCCCCGTAAAATTCATGTGTTTTTACAGTTGGTTTAAGATTATACCTCCCCCTATGATAGCTTGACTTGGACTTCTGCCGGGGTAACTCGTGCCTTCGGAGCAGCAGTCCGAGAAACAGACCACGGCGTCGCCTTCAGGGGGTGGAACTATCTTTCACCCTCCCATCGATCGATTAGATGGAGAGACACAGAACATGCCTGGCGTCGCTCCTTGGTCTTCTTGTGAATGGATCTGGGAGCCCGCGCCCAACCTTGCAGCCGAGCTGAGCCCAGTCATGCACGCCAGTACGGTCGCTCACTGAGAGACCAGAAGTCCCATGATTCCTCCTCCTACAGGCACACTCGCCGCGGCCGCCCTCGCCTCCAACACGACAACGACTTGGCAGGGTTCGGGTCAAGTGAGGCTAACTAGCTTCTTAGTTCGAGTGTTCTCTGATGGGAGGGAGACCCGCGTGAGCTGTCGCAGACTCAGCCAGCCCGTGTGCTCGATCCTGTTCGTGGCCGACCTCGTCATCATTCAAGAGACCCAAGAAAGGTTGCTGGCACGACTTGACCAAAAAGCAATCCTGTTCCTTTCCTCAAAACGTGCGACCCGAGCGAGGTTCAAGTCTCCTGCCAGGCTTCCGAGCCAATGACTCTTAACAAGGATGTGGTAACATGGATGTACTTGGTTTGCAATTCCAGCTGTTTCTTCTTTTCCTCTGGATCACGCCCCCAAGGTCTTTCTGGCTGGGTCTGTGAATGGGATGAGGTGTCATCGCAGGTAGCTCGGATCAAACTTTTGCACTCTAGGCCACGGGGACGCTAGGCTCCCAGAGACACAGACTGAGATTATCTTCTGCACACCTCAGGGGGTAATGTGATCGGTCCCAAAAGCCTGGCCTAGACAGTACCTGCCGTGGCTAACCCTCAACTTGAGATCGGCCTGGGCACCGGGGAACGCCTTGGACGTTCCTAGCGCCGCACGCAGGCCGGCTGGCTCCCGCCACATCGCTGTGTGTATCAGCTTCTTGGGAGAGAGCAGTGGATGGCCTAGGTTAGGCTGGTGTGGACCGTACGGCATATCGAAGTCTCTTGAGCTTCCAGCGGGACGGGACGTCCCCTGATAGCGTGGCTCTCACGACCGTTTGGCTTGCGGGTCAGACGTGCTTGTCATATTCGAGAGCTGGCGCAAGTGGCGCAGGTCATTCAGCACACATCTGTCATCTCAAGTATTCTTTCAGAAAGTCAGGCGTTGCAGGGGAACACAATCCATGGTTTGTTTCTCTATCTACGTGCTTAGGAACTTGGGAAATTCATACAATGAAATACCAAAATCGTTTACCCCCAAAATCGTTTATCCCTATTTCGTTTCTTTCATCCCTTCCCCGGCCACGTCTCTCCCACCACTTCCGTCTCCAGCCGATTCCCTATGGCATGAAGCCAGAACCTTTCCCCTGCAAGCTACATCTAAGTAGATCCAATCGCGGTCAGATCATGTTGTTGGGCCTGAATTGTCTCGTGACGAGGCTCGTGATTAGGCCTCGTGCTGGCCTCGGATTATTTGTCGATCATCTCTGTCTTCTGGTCTCCGCCGTTTGCCAAGGTGACCCTATGGTCATTTGCGTTGGGCTTCATGAGCACTTCAGAAAGGGCTTCCTCGTCTTCATAATAGGACTGTTTGGTAGCAGCGGCGGTATACTGCGTCTGCTCTTCGCCGTGATTGCATATCCCACAGAACTCCTCGTGGAAGTCAATGTCGCAGGGGTCGTTGCGGCCGAGCTCCACGCCACAAACCAACCGCTGTATCTCTCCGTGGACTTCGAGTATGTGCTCTTGCTTAGTCCTATTGTCTGAGCCGACCTCCCAGGAACAGATCATGTGCGGACATGTCGGATCCGAGTTGCGATCGTGGGCTCGGATGAACTGCGGCATTGCTTGCTGCTAATGTCTGATTTGAAATGATATGGAAAAAGTTTGGATAGTAAGATTCTGCCTATGATCGTGACAATAATGCCCAATAGACCGCGAGAGTGCCTTGTCCATTGTCGTCTTTTATGTCTGCACGGCAAACATGAAAACATCAGGGTGTCACTCACGAATTCATGACCGACTTCCGTCAAAGCGCAACGGAGATCGCATCAGGTTGTTCTCGCTTTCTTTTTTGCTCAAGTCAACATGCAAGACGATCAGATAGCTACTGTTGTCTTCTGACAACTGATCGGACCAGGCATTGGAACGGCGGCAGCAATCATCAAAGGCGCCCCTCCATGAACTCTCCCAATCTCGGACTTTGCTAATTAGAACAGCCGGTTTGCATCCTTGCAGGGTTCGCGGTTCTGAGATGAGACCTGAGGAAGAGATTGACAGGTCCTCGCACAACTGTCTTGGGGGCGCGCGTCCGGCAGAGGAGTCCGACTCGCTCCGGGCATGGGCGTGGACCAGACCACATCCTTCCATCTTTTCTTTGGTGGCAGGGGAAGCAGGTATAGTAGGCTGGCATACGCCGTCTAGCGGATGCAAGTCCATGTCGGAACTGATGCCGTCGGTCTCTTTTCTTATCCTTGCTCCGTGCATCTTGTCGTCTCAACGGCAACCCATCCGCGGATCCGCTTTGGGCGAGGATCTGACGTCCGAACCTGCTAGCAGGGATGGCAAAAGAATGTTGGTGAAGGTCGCGACGGCGTCGTCGATATCCAGACTGAGATCCACCTTGTTCGTCTCGGGGAAAGGTGAAAGACATCTGACAGATGGGCTGCTGCAAGGGCCGCTGGCTGCAAGTGCTGGGATAACATACCTTGTTCTGACAGCGGCGGCGGAGATCCCGGTGCTGCTGGGTCGTATTGATGCTTTTGGTGTATCTCCTGAACCATCCCGAGCCCCAAAAGCCCAGGATTCCGAACAGCAAGCATCCGCAGCAAGCAACCCAAACACCCCAGCAGCAAGTAGTCCAACTCCAAAATCCACCCCTCCCCTGCCGCCCATTCTCAAACAAGTGCTAGGTACGTCGTCCTAGGCAGGCTCATGATGGCGAAAAATGTGACTAAATCGATCTTTGTGGTTGGTGACGCCGATGGAATTGTCTGTGGCCTACGTTTCAATGATCCCCGATGCTGGCGGTTCGTGGCCGCTTAAAGAGTATGCTTAATTCAATCGCAGGCTTTTTATATAATGATAACATCGCTGAATAACATTTTGATCGCTCATTTCAGTCCCAATATCAATTCCTAACTCGTAATAAAGTCAAAATGGGTTGACGATCCATCTGAATATTTCCAGATCGAAGGTACGCGTGACAGATAGCACACTGTGTGTTGGTTCCAGTCGGACATTATGGTGCAGAGCTCTAGCCCGAGCTGCAGTCAGAGGGGCCGCCGACAGGTTCGATGTCCTTGGGGCGCCAACGGATTTGAAGGCAACCAGCGGTGCGCGTCAACCTCCCGAGTTTGAGTCATACTTCGGCTGGGCGATTTGGGCGGCTGTCCAGAATCCTGCTCTGTCGTTTTCACAGGGGTAAGTCCTCTTTCGGATGGCGATATGCAGCGCTGTTGGAGCGCGGCAGGGATCCTTACTTCTTCCAGTCCAGGGCGCTTGCCTTGAAGGCAACATGGGAGATGAAGGTGTGCTGTATGCGCTACGTTGGAGCGGCCGCATGCTTGGCCTCCGGGCCCCTAGTTCAACGCCGTCCGATTCGTCGAGGCATGGTCCTCATTTTCAACATTTTTCCACTTCCCCCTGGCCACTTCTGAAAAGAGAAACTGCCATATTTCTTGTTCGTGATGAAGAACTGCGGCCTCGCAACACAGACGCTTGGTCTGATGTTTCTCTACTTGTGCGTTCAGTTCAGCAAACGCCTATTATCTGGGACGCATACAGGCCTCCTTGGATCCTTGCCCGACTATCCTGTCATGGAAACCTGCCCGTTGCCCACCGGGTTCTCCTCTCAAGATTTGCTTTAGGATGACGGAGGAGCCGTGGAACTAAAAAAACATCTCGGACTTTGCTCCCCCACGAACAGGCGTTTGTATCCGTTCAAATTGATTTTAAGTATGCTGGGCTTGGGCTGGACATCACTCCCATACGATTGTAGTGTAGGCCGCGGCGGATGATCAGCCTAGAGCGCCGTTGTTAGATGCTTGGTATCTATTTTCTCAAGTATAGCTCGCGAGTTGAGAAAGAAATAAAGTAAAGAATATCACGAAGTGGAATTTACAGAAATATTCAAACAGATGTCGTTGGGGGTCAGCATGCCCCAAATTTTGAAAGCAAAAGTTGTATTTATTTAAACAGCTTCTTGCGGGTGCGAAGAAGAGAAGTGAAAGTATCTAAGTTACAGTTAAATTTTGCTTCGTGTACTGATCCTCTCGTTCCTTCATTCTGTGTATTGATTTCCGTCGTTTTGGTATTTGTTTTCCCTCCTTTTCACGCCCAGCGCTTTGCTTAATTCGAAACTCCTTGACGTCCTATCACTGTTGTGATTTCCTAATAACTCTGCTTCATCATAAACTTCATTTCTGACAAAGCCACTGGTCAAATTTCACATTTACATGTTGAAGTTGTACACAGTGCTGTTGTAGAAGTTGTTCTGGTAGACTCGACCAGCGTTGGCAGTAGCACCAGATCCCGCCTCAGTCTCGGGGGTGCTTCGGTTGCTTTGGTCGGTGTCTTCCTCAATGCTCACGTTGAGCACTTCGGGCTGATCAATCAAGCCTTCGGGGCGGTCGTTGACTGGCTCCTGAATTTCGGCAGTGTTGGATTGGTTGCGCAAAGGTTGGTCGGGCTTCACTCCCAACCCCTGACGGTGTTGGTTGGCGACATGAACTCGGATAGATCTCCGAAGGCCGAGGTCGGGCTGCCACGGGCATCTATCACACCCTTCCTGAGAAGTTTGGGTGGCCATGTTGAGACGATATGTTGAATCTGAGGTTATAAATGAGATTGTGGTCAGAATGAGACGTTCCCAACGATGATGGTGTGCTAAGGGAAAGAGAAGTCTGATGAGTTGGAACATCTGACTTCACGAACAGAGGCGGGGAAAACGGCAGCACTTATACTCGTCCATTTGAAGCGCAGTCGATACCTAGAGGAGATCGGCAACACATCTCTGGGTTTCCCTGAACGGCCCTCGAGCAGGAATGATTAGGGAAATGGGTGGATAGAAAGCCAGTCAATGGATGGTTCATGCACGGATGGATGGGCACGTCGATGTTGCGATTTCAGGAATGCCCACACCGCTGCGTCCAGCACTCGTTATACAGATGAGATACCAGGGATCCAGTCTGCCATGGCAAGCTCAGCGGTGGGGTGGCAGGTACGGCACTCACATTGCTTTTTCTGGCCCACTACACCTCGGAGGAACGGAACGCCAGTGGGGAGGGGGGTGTCGTCGAGCAAGCTGGGAGGGAAGTATGCTTCCAGAACATGAACAAGCCTTCGCAAGAGGCATTGCGCAAAGCGCCATGCAGAGACAGGGGTGTTGGAGCCGAGCCTGCCCGCATGCCCACCCCGGCGGCGATGCCTCTACCTCATCGTCCGAGACGACACAAAATTTAGGGCAGAATGATCAATATGAGGTGCTGCGGGTCCTTGTTACTTGGGTTGAGGCGCCGAGGGCATGGTTCTCAAGGTTCCGTGGATGACGGGGTTGGTAGGCCCGTCTTTCTGGCTCGATGATCCGTTCCACGTACATTCACGGGACCACGACAGTGACGACGACGGGTAAGCCAAGCCTCTGCCTATCCTTATCTCCTTCCCAATGTACCGAGTTCAAATTTCGTTGGGTCGGCATATTGATGCGGACGGAGGACGTGTTCTCACTATCTCTCTCCCAAGGTAATGTATATACCTAATGTAGCAATGTCTGTGAGGTATCGTCACCAGAGTTGCCGTAACATATGACAGTACTCGGGAGACCATCTCTGGAATTGCATTCAGCGATTTGAGTTATTGATCGGATGTGAACTCGATGCGAGGGAGCTCTTCGCGGATGATGGATACTTGAGACGTTATTCTAGGAGCGCAGAGTGTTGGCAAGGAGGGTAGGGGCAAGGGGGCAGCCAGGGAGTGGGCGTCCGTGTGAGCGACGGGGTAGGCGTCCGTGTGAGCGACGGGGTAGGCGTCGAGATGGGCGACGACATGGGCGTCGAGATGGACGAAGACATGGGCGTTGACATTGACAAGATTTGGGCGAAGACATGGGCGTTGAGATTGACCAGGCTTTGGGCGAAGACATGGGCGTTAGATTGACAAGGGTTTTGGCGACGAGGCGGGCAGCCAGACAGGTGGTCAGGCGGGAGGCCAGGATGGCAAGAGAGCTCATAAGAGCGGCGCTCTGCTGGCTGGAGCATCAGGCCAGCTCAATCTACATCAAGGTACCGCGGTATCGAGCCAAAGTCAAACACCCCTACCAGGTATTTCTGGCTCAAGCAGACCTGGTTGGATTGAGAATCGGGGCCAGAGATCCTGGTTGAGGTGGGTTCGGCGGCTAATTACGCAGTACAAGCTGCCCGTACTGGCGTCAGGCCCAAGAAGCAGCTGAACCTGCAATGCAACCCATCCTGCAGGCTAAGCCGGCAACACAAGAAGACATACAAAGAGATGGATGGCAGTGTGCGAAAAGATGGCACGCAAAAAATGGAAGGCAGCCTGCAATACATTGCACCCTGCGTTGGATTGCAATCTGCGGTAGACTGCAATCTGCGATCTACACCCAGAGCACCCAGACATCGCAGGAGGGCAATGCCTAGCAACCACCCCTCGTCAAAGCCGGATAGCGCATGCTGCATGTACAGTTTGCAGGCCCTTACAAAAGAGATATCCACCCATTGTGTGGCACAATATTTGAGATTGACGATGAGAAGCTCCTAACAGTGGCCCATCCTCCTGTTTTCAATGGCTTGATGATAAGCCTAGGCGAGTCTGTCTCTCAGACGCGTGTGTCCAGGCCGCTTCAAGACCAAGCCCAGTCTCTATCATAAGAACCATTGTTTCCTCCCGGTGATCTCCCCCTTGTGGGTCTTGGCGCGATTACTGATCCATGGCTCCAGGCGTACCACGCTTACTTACTGACATCATCGTGGAACGAAAGCTGCACAGTAGCAACCTACTAATAATAAGCGAGTGAGCTTATTTGAACCGCCTCTGTGTGTTCTCATCCGCCTCTGCACTCCTCCCTTAAACTCTCCCCGAAGTTGGAATTCGGTCGTAGTAGATGAACAAGGCGCGCTAGCAATCTCAGAAGACCAGGCATCTGACGCAATTGCGCAGTCTCTAGAAAGTAGCGGTTTAAAAACATGTTGAAATTGCTCGTTATTAGAAAATTGCGAAAGGCATTCGAGTCAAACGGATTTTGAACGCTGATGATAATACATCGAAAATTGAAACTTCTGAGCCGGACTAGGTTTTTATCCGAAATTAAACAGTTCATCAAATTTTGGCCTTGGGATTTCAGCTTCTGAACGGATCTGGAGTAAAAATAGTCAGAAGCGGCCCGGTCCGATGGGTTGTGCGGCCCCACTCCGCCGGATCGCATCACCTCAGTGCTCCACTTCGGACCGAACGCCGACTAGGATGACGGATGGCCAGCACTTTTGCCGGCGGAACTGAAAGCTAAGATGCCTAGTGATTTCTAAACGACTTGTTTCGTCTTCCATCTACCAAAAGTCAAAGATGATGACAAGACTTGCCTTGTCCATAGGAAGGATTGTCGAGTGCACTGCATTAGCACGGGCTACAAGTCTCCGGCCCAGTCGACGAAACCCTCGCGCTCTTGGAACTTCAAACAATCTTGACGTGGAACACCACATCTGAGTCTCTTTCACCGAAGTGGAATTATTTTACGTAGATCAATCAAAGCGACTACAAAAATCCGCATGCGAAAGAGGTAAGCTAATTGTTGAAGGTTAAGGTTGAATGAATACACCATCACTAGTGAGTGGTGATTTGTTCAATAGCCACTTATTGATAGTCTACCTTTGCCGATGACTTACTCGGTCTGTGTTTAGATAATCAAAATCAGCTTCACAACAAATACAAATCACACGCACTAGCTTTCTGAACACTTCATACAGTAGTTGCAGATTCCTAACATTATCAAAGACTAACGATCTAGATACCCCCTGGTTTCAAAATCGCCTCTTTATTATTGGGTGCCAATAACGAGGTGGTCGTGAAAGCTGAGGTCCCCTCAGTTATATCTCCTTTACTGTGGATAGAAACATGAAGCTTTCGTGTGCTAAATTGTATGCATTAGATGCTGCTTAAATGTCATGGAATTAAGAATCAAACATTGGGTACCCTTCATGACAACCAGCCATCTTGGAGGAAGTGACTCAGATCCTCCTGAGTCCACATGATGTCGAGGAGTAGTGAATGCGTTCCAGCGGTATTTTGAGGCCATGTTTCGGTGTCCGTCTCGTAAGATGTCATCGGAATTTGCGAGATACTCTTTCCATCGCCAGGCACAGGATATGTTTCGTTCAGCCGAGCTTGCATGGCCTTGCACTTCTTGCAGCTGCTTTGATGGCGTTTGTTGTTTGATGCATGGTTCGATCGTTCTTCTCCGCAAGCCATTCGAACTTTTGGTCCATGTTTGGATCTCATATGTCGTACAAGATTGGATTTTGTAGCGAAATGAGAAGCATGGCAGCTGGCTTCCTTGCACCTGAAGGCGGACGTAGAGGGTGAAGAGGTACTCATATCGGGAGACGTGGTCGTTTGTGTAAGGTTTGTCGTCAAAGGAGATATTATTTCCAGTTGATTTCTCTCAGAGAATGTTAGGTTGGCTCCCAATGGTCGGAATTCTTGGTATTGTCTTTATACCCATAAGATTTGTGGAATGGAAAAAGATTGTCAAACATGAAAGACACCATCTCTTTAATATTCCTCAGAGCCAGGGATGAGGATTTTGTATGCCTCATTTACAGATATGTCAGTTGCGAGTAGATGAAAAGAGGCTCAACTTTGCTGGACAATTGCAACGGCATCTCCTGAGGTATTCGGGTATTGTCTGATCGGTGAGTAAACAACTGTCTAGGCTGTAATATGAAATGTATGGAAAGATGAGCCGCATGAAATGTGGGACATGTCTTTGGGAAAACTCCGAGGATAAGAGCGAAGGTATGCAAAAGGAAGCATGAGACGTAAGCGTTAGGGAGGCTGGTTGGTTGGTGTGCAAATGTCAGATTGAACGCACAATTCTGGGGAGGAGGCTAGACAAAGCGGTTTCACTGGCCGGAAACAATTGACGAGCGCTCTCCGTGTACAGTCAAGAATTGACGAGCGCCTTCTACTTTGGCAGTGCTGGTTTGACTACCCTTCTGAGACAGCACCAAAACCACAATCCCCTGCCTCTCTCCAATGTCTTGCAATTTGTGGGCTCGATGTATTTACGTCAAGTGCTGGTATGAAAAATGAGGGAGGCAGCCACTAAACGTATCAGCACTCCAACACTCCAACAGCGTAGAGTGCACAGCGGACGAGACTTATATGATCCTCAGCACAAGACGACCACATACGTCACATTTCTACACTCAATGGTCCTCACTCAGTGCTAGTCAGGGATGTTGTTGTGGCGCCTGCCGCTCGGCGAATAACTCGCGGGCCAAGATCGCATACGCTCGTTCGTACTACATAATGCGTAGCCGAAATCTTCGATTCTAATGCTGCCGGTTGTAGTGTGTTATCCCGTCGCCTAGGAAAATCCTTGAACTTCTGTGGTACCAAATTCCAACACCAACATTCCTGTACTATGTCCAAAGAGATTCGCCTGCTGTTCTGACCGAAAGCTGGTGCTTTCAGAAGTTGAACAGCGCCCGGACAAGCTCCGACAATCTCCACTTTAGCGGAGGTGCAACGGGACGGTGCATTGCTCAGTTCCGGATCGGCGCGGCACGGGGTACC